TGTATACGCATTCTTCTACATGTGGTTTTACGTGCCCACAGTGGAAACGTTACCGCATACGTGCGATTCGTTTAAATTAAATCTTCACCGAAGGTCAGAACGAGATGATGAGCGGATGGAGACTGAAAGTCAGGAATGGAAGGGATGTGGGAGAGGAAGAGAGAGGATACAGTGGGGAGGATGTGGGATGATTCTATCTGGTGCGGTACATTCATTAATGTCATGTTTCACTATACAGCTAATGCTTAAAAAAAAAAAAAAAAAAAAAAATTGCAGTACTTTCTGTAATATCTGAATCAAAGTAAGTAAGAGTACAGTAAGTAATGAAAATGTAATGGGGCCATTAACTGTGAGAACCTGAAGCCTGATGTACAAATATGTACTCTACCGGTACTTCACATGCATTACAGATAAGCAACCTTACATTTCAGACAAAAGGTTCTTTGTGCACTTATCTTTGAAAACCAACTAATCCATCTAAAATGCAAAGACTGAATGCAGAGCAAGTTAATATGCACTATCCGGGGATTGAGGGTGGCAGGCCCAAGTCTTGCTGGTATTACAGTATATCACAAGAAAAACTGGTGTTCTTTGCTTCAAACTCATCCAGAATGCTTATTAACTCAACATCTAGCCAATATAGTGTCAAACGTGTCAGCAGATTGTCATATTTGAGAATAACTGTCACTGTATTTCAGGTTAAAAGACAGATTTCCTTCCTCCTTTACCAAAAACTTCCAAAGATCACAGACCAAAAAAAAAAAAGAGAGCTTGAATTAGATGCAACATTACTCATTAACACTACACAACAAGCAGACGGGTACCTTTGTGGCAGAGCTGATAAATTCTCCAAAATAATATAAACCATACAAGTCCTCAGTGTCATTTAGATGGCACAAGACAACTGTTGTAGGAAAAGTGGCGAACCCTACCCAAACATGCACACACACAACCCAGTGTGACAACGAGGAGATGATTAAATCAAGCATTAAATTGAATGAGTGTGAAGGAGCGCAGCTGGAGAAACTGGATCCAAACCAGTCTGGGCACGATGAAATGAAGCAGGGGCTAAACAAGATGCTATTCATTAGACGACTACTTGAGAAAGCATCCAACAGCTGGGTTTGCTGTCTGCGACCTCAATTACCCCCTGACTCACTTCAGACTTAGTTGATTCATAAGCTGAACTCATCTGGTTCAGCCAAGGAAGACACATCTCCAAATGGTATCCCTGCCAGACTGATAAAATGAGTATCAAGTGACACGCTGGAAGCCAGAGGGTATTTCATAGAAAAGCCTCCAGTGATGGTTGCTTCTGTTGGCTGAGAACAAAGTTGTAATCACACTAAACTCACAATGATGCTGATTACCAGCAACATTTTTTGGGTGAAACAAAACATCAAAAACACCAAACACAGTGATGTAATTTTAAACAATCAGCTACTGATGTGAATCAACTGTAGCCAAGAGTCTGATTACCACGCTGCACGACAAGAAAGACAAGTTGCGTATCACGCAGCAGGCGAGAGCGGATTTCCTCGTTTTCACCCACAATGATAATAATCGCAGAGGAATTTTCTCACCTTGATCAACAAGCACAATAAATCAGGGCAGGACAATAAAGAAGTGCTACGAGGGCTTTCTAGAAAACAAAAGGCTTCACACTGTGTGTGAGGGTAGACACTGTGAAAGTAGCCTCTCTCACACACCAAAACAAACCTAATGTTTGGTTGCCATGGAAACAGCAGCGCAGGCATCGCAGAGCATGAGGCAGAGGAAGTACTTAGTTGAACTCCTGCTGCACCGCTGATATACGAGAGAACAAAGCCGCACATTAAGGCCTCTTTCCATGTAAAATCAACAGCACTCCCATGACGTGGAGCCCATACAGATTTTCTGGCCCATTAGCTCTGTTGAAGCATAAGCCCTACTTATTCTGAAATTTATACCCCGTATGAATATTTAAGGACACAGTTCACTGCAGTTTTTTGTTAATTTTCAAAACCTCAAGCCACACATGAACATATCCAAGTGACTTTCTCAAGCGAGGACAGTGGGTGTGATGAAACTCATGGAAATACTGTAAAGTTTCAGTCTCACTCAGCTAAAGAAATGTAGAAACACTAGAGGTAGCTTCAATTTCTGACTCTAATTAACACTGCAGTTCTAAAGGAGCTCTGTTTCAAAGAGCTTTATGTTTTGAAACAGCCATTAGGGACACATATCTGAAATGCTGCAGTAAGATGAATTTAAATGGATTATTTGAGGTGGTGTAGAAGGGCAAGCACATTTTGCAAAACGCAATTACTTTCTGCGAATGTAGGTGCTGAGAAAAAAGGAGCACCAAGCTGTGACAATGTCACTATTTTCAGAGTAATGTAGTCTCTAGAGGAGGCAAATTATCAGCTTGAAAAGTAGTAGAGAGACTCAGACATCTGACTGTTCATCTGTATGGATCCTCTGAGATTTTAAATATTTATAGAGCTGATTTAGAAATACAGAAACAAATACAACATAAAACAACTGCATCCTGCTCACAAGTACACAAAACATACAAGAAATGAACGATGAGCGTCTGTGTGTCAGTATTCTAGCTGTTGCTGAGGTTACTCATAATTGTGGAAACATATCAGAGTCACTGTAAACAGGATACGACTCCTACTGTACAAGAACTGATCCAAAGGCGATGCACCTCAGCATCCTGGCACGTTGCGGCGAATGTAAACAGACTGACTGATTAAAAAGTGATTGCACAGTAAGCGGAGCAGTAAGTTGTTTAAGAATCTGAGAAATGTGATGTTTCCCATGATATTTCCTTTTCTTGTTTGCAGATTGTGCTGCTAAAGCCAAACACTGGTTTCTAAGCAACAAACTCAACACTGTTATTAATAATCGGAGAAACTGGGACTATATTAGGGATAACAAGGAAAAAGGGTTTTCCATCTGCATGACACAAATCTCTGCCATCAGGAGTTTTTCATACAGTAAATAAAACATTTCTAGGGCTTCAACTATTCATTAACTATTTCAACTGTTTTCTCAAATAATTGATTAATCATTTTGTCTATAAAATGTCAAAAAATAGCAAAACAATTTCTGCCCTCTATTTTTTATTTAATTATTAAAATATGAAATCACTTTCAGCTTTACGGGTTTACCATTATTAGAACTTACAGGGCACTGATATAAAAAACATACCACAGAAAAAGTAATTAACAATACATATGTCACATGACAATGTAAGAATATGCAACATTGCTGAAAGGATGTTTTGCATTTCCATAGTGGTAGCCAAGGCTGGGAACATTTGATTAAACAATTAAAATTATATTCAATGACAGAACTGAAAGACTAAATTGTCTCATATCTAATTATTTTGACCATCAAAAACTGAAAAAGAAAGCTTCTTTTCTTCCAAAAGGAAATCTTTTGGGGACAAAGAGCAGCAGTCATGCAGTAAAACTTCAATAAAATATGATTTGATATCACCTAGTGGCCATTATTGATATTGCATCACATCTCAACCGAGCTACTGGAAACAATTCAGTCCAAATTATGGTCATAATCTGGTCAAAACCCTCTCTCCTGTATATCCTTTTTTCTCTCCACTTCTCCCTCATTGGTCTCAGCACAGTATTTAAAACTACAGTAGATATATACATATATAAAACAACTCTTGGTCAGACTTCATTGTTTTCTTTTTCCACAGATCCCTCTAGAAGCATTGCGTCGACCAGGACCTACGAGAATCCCCAAACCGAAAGGCTACAGCTCCCAGAAAGGGACAAACAGCACAGCGGCAAACGTGGGACAGCAGAACAAGAGTCAGTCGACACAGAGTCACCTCGCCACTGGCAAAGAGCAGCACACACACATACCAGCAGCGCACAACAACAACAACAACAACCCACATCTAATGAACCGCAGACTGTGACCGAGCTTTTAGTACATTTCACTAAAAACATCCTCGTAGTTACTAAATATGTCTAAAAATATAAAATAGAAAGCGCAAAAGAAAAATAACTGTGAAAACTGTCAAAGTACTGCTTTATTCTACCATTTCATGATTACCTAATCCTCATCTGTGGTGCTCCAAGACTGCAACATGCAACTGAGTTTTGTGTATTATGTTCAATGTGTACACACTGTATTAGTTGTAAATAAACTTACAGAATAGTTTAGAAAGTAGTTTCTATGTTCATTTCATATTTACTGTCACAGATTTGTGTGAAGATGTCACTGTGATCATAATAAATTAAAATCAAGGGTAATAATAGAATATTAAATATGTTACATGGTTATGTTGTTGAAAGAAAATTAATGTTTCTTTGTATTGTTAGCATTTCTATTGATTATGGATTGGTTTAATTACTATATCTGTTGAGACATACAGATGATCACAGCCATTTATCCATTTCTAGGGATGGAACACATGGATATTTTTTGAATAAATGGCAATAATGTACATAAGTGTATAAGTGATGTGTTGTAATGCAGCTCCTTGATAGTGATAATCTTTAAAATGTGACATTTGTGTTATTTTTGGTTATCAATAAAGACTTTTTATACCTGGAACTAGAGAAATGTCTCTGATCTGATTATAAAAACAATATGAACTATAGAAAATATCTTTACCTTGATGCTTTATATTGATAGAAATATATAAATATAATTATGAAAATCAAAGCGATTTTAACATTTTTGTAAAATAAAAGTTGAAAAAGAATTTGAAAAGAATTTTCCTATGTCAATAATTTGGAAATATAAGTGGTGCAAACAACAACAAAAGATCTCTGAATATGATATTTGTAAGGTAATATGACTGACATAAGAGCTGACATTTAAAGGGGTGATTGTCAAAGAGGAATGCGACCTGTGATGCTAGGACTGTCTGTAGCTAATGTTACTAGTTTCATTGGTTTTTAACTGGTTTCTCAGTTTGCAGCAGGCATGGAGGGTTTAGCACACAGACAAACACAGTCCAAACCACTTTCTAATACAATACAACACTCTAATAAAAACTAACAAAACTACTTTTTACTTTCAGCTATTACAGGTTACAGTGCAACTAGATCTTAGATTTTAATCAACATCAATCATGTTTCTTTAAAGCCTTTTTAGGCCTTTAATTGGATAGTGACAGATGTAGATAGACAGGAAACTTAGAGGAGAGAGAGAGAGAGAGAGAGAGAGAGAGCGGATGGCGAGCAGCAAAGGGCCACGGGTTGGAAGTGAAGCCGGGTCGTTGCGGTACAGACGCAGCATTAGCACATGGGGTGCGCTCTACGAGGTGAGCTACCAGGTATGTTTAGGTATTATGTATATCAAAATATGCGTGTATAAACAATGTTTATTTTAACAATTGGTAGAGGGGGTTAAACATATCTAGCTGTCTTTGAGTTAGTGAGTGACGCATTCTGTATGAGGAAGTTGTAAGAAGTATAAAAACATAGCAACTGAGATACTGGTTGCCATAATACACTGAAGCAGCTAATTAAAAGCAGAACTGGGCAAAATGGGCAAATGTTGCAAAAACAAAAAAATGACTATTCCCTTATGCTGACTAAATGATTACTTTAGGAATTTTTTAGTGAACACTCAGAACACCATTTAAACTGTGGCAGGAGTTGCTATGTATTTACATCATATCATGATGTGGGACAGTGATCACCTCTTCAGATTCCCTGATCTTTTCTTTGAACTTTTCAACATAAAAAAGGACCAACAGTGGTGTCCAAACCTCTTCTCGCCGGTGTATCGTCACTGATGTCCTGTCAGAGCAGAGGTTATGGCTGAACGCAGCACGGACAGGAAGTGCTCTCTCTCTTCACCTCTTTCTGTGGCACAAACCCAGGAACGACAAGGACCCTCCAGGACAAAGGCATGACTCACATCTACAGAGAAAGACAAAGATATTCCTGTAACTGAACTGATCAGACTTTAATGATCACACACTGAACATTATAAAAGCTGTGCTGTTCAGTTCATATTTTATTCTTTATACAGTAAAACCTCACAGCGTGTATGTGTGATCTCTCTGACAGCCAGGCTGGCGAGAGCCACAGAGGCCAGGAAAGTGTGTGCACTCCGGTGAGCCAGCGTGAAAGGTGTGTGATAGACATTTCGCCGCGTCAACACCAAAGCATCGTTGAACAGGAACAGGCCCACATCAGACACCTGCTCATACGTCCTGATCACACACACACACACACACACACACACACACACACACACACACACACACACACACACACACACACACACACACACACACACACACACACACACACACACACACACACACACACACACAAACACAGAATGGTTAGATACAAAAGCCTGAATCAACTAAAATATGAGTAAATATAGATTTGACAAACTAAAAAACTAATCAGTTTGGCATGTAAGCTTGGTAGAAACTATTACAAATCTACTGAGTCAAAGATTATTTCTGGATATAAACTAATAGAAATCACCATTCTGACCACATCATTATATCAACAGGAATAATTCATGTTACCTGAGAGAGTCTGGAATCCGTTCATCAGGGCTCCTGAGCAAAGCAGCATCCTGAGTTATCACCAGCTGCCTGTTTCCTTCACTGAGGTTCTACACACACACACACACACACACACACACACACACACACACACACACACACACACACACACACACACACACACACACACACACACACACACACACACACACACACACACACACACACACACACACACACACACACACACACACACACACACCTTCAACATTTAAGTTTTATTTGTTGTTTTTGAGAGTGTGACAGACAACAGAGAAGTGAAGAGAAAGAGAGGTGTGTTTTTACCGGACAGCCTTGGATCATCTCCTGCGTTTCCTCCATCAGCCTGTCTCTCTCTGAGTTACGCTTTAACTGAAACAGAAGAAACCATCTGTGTATCAGTCGCACTAAACAGAGAAATACTACAGACTCCACATTCAAACTCATCACGAGGTACCGACTCAACGCGTTGTACCTTCTGTATGAATTCTCTGAATCGTAGGAGGGTGTTGAGGGCAGAGGAGAGGTGTGTGTGGTCAGGATGACCGGGGTGTGTGTGTAGAGACAGAGCTTGAAGCAGAGTCACATACTCCTGTATTCTCCACACTGGACACAGCAGCAGCTCCTGTAGGCTTCACACACACATACAAACATATGTGTAAACACTACAGTTTAATGAATTCACAGTTTATTTTAGCCAGGTGTGGATAACTGCCCTGGAAATAAACACCAGATATATATATATATATATGTGTGCTGTTACCTCAGCATGTGTGTTGCAAGAGTTCGGTCCACTCTCTTCAGGAAAGCCCGAAATGGAGGTTTTGTCTCCCTGCACTGGCAAAAATACACAACATTAAATTAAACCTTCGGTTTAATAAGCCAGGGGTGCTGTGTGTTTGATTATTACAGTTCTAGGAAAAGAAGAGTCGATGTCTTTCAAACTGATATATCTGACAAATATCTGCATAAACCCAGTGCACACTGACACACTAGAACTACTTTAGTTAGCTTCAGGTGCCTCATGCATGACCACAAACACACTGTCTGACTTTACCTTGTCGATGGCACAGAGGGCAGTGGTGTAGTTGTTGAGGTAGTTGGTGTACACTCTCAGTTTTGAGCACAGTTTTACAAACACATCTCCAACACACTGCTGTGCACCCCACTGCTGCAGCCTGGCCTGTAGGTCTACCTGAAACACCCTGTAACAAACACACACACACTCTATCATGTCCACACAGAGGCATGCAAACCAGACAGTATCACATTAATATTTGTGTATGTGTGTACCTGTTGAGCTCCAGTATTTGTGTGACAGGGGTGAGGATAATGTGGATGTCAGCGTAGCTCAGAATGGCTCTGTTGGAGTTCAGGGCAGCTGTAAGAGGCTCCTGGTACACCTTCAGCACAAGACGAAGGACAGGTTAAGATTAAATGCCTCAGACACAACACTTATGGGGTTGGGGGTTCCTCTGAAAACATTCTCCTCAAATCAGATTCTAATAACCACTCTAATAATCCACTAGAAAAGTGGGAGAAACTTGCAGGCCATGCAGCTGCAGAACTATAATTCATTTAATATCTAAAACACCTTGATTACAAAGGTATTATATAAACTCCCTATGGTTTGCAAAAAGGGCCCACTTATCAGTGGCAGTTTTCTGGAGCACATTAGCCAATATTCATTCAGTTTATAAGTCTGATTAGACTTCATGTTGAGTGGAACCGCACCTGAAACAACGGCCTCTCAGCAGCTCAACATGTGATATTGTTACTAAATTTCCTGAATGAAAGACAGTTTTATTATTAATGTAATGTTATGTTATAGTCTAGCAATTACCTTCAGCACAGCGCCCAGTCTCCTCAGATAAATACACTCGCTGTGATGCAGCTCTCTGGCAACTGCACCTCTCCAATCTAACGCTGTCTATTGAGAGAAAGAAAGAAATTGGTTGTTAGGATGAAGCGTGCTCCTTCAACCGTCTCTGAATGGACAAAGCACACACACCTGCGGTGGCTCAGATATCCGACTGATGCATGTCTGAGAGCCATGTGGTGCCCCTTTGTTTTTCAACTTGTCTTCGCCACTACTCTCTTCTCTCTCCTTCTCCTCACTCCATTTTGTCAGGAAGACAGCAAGAAACTCCAAAGGTCTTGTCTGACGATGAGAGAGAACCTGACAAAGGATTATCTCATTTATTTTCCGCCCTTGTGTATTACAAAAACTTCTTTACAATAATTCTTACCTCTTCCTGTCTTGTGAGAGCAACAAATCCCTCCATCAGAGCCTCATTTAGCTCTTTGGACACACAAAGCTCCTCAAGGCAGAGTTTCTCCCACAGAAAAAGACCTATAAACATATCAACAGATTTTACAGAAGGTTTTCAGGACACAGAGTATGCAGGCATTTGTTTAAACCTGCCATGGATCCAGCTGTGTTTAAATCTACATGTATGTGAAACCCACCCAGAGCTCGGCCCCGGGCCTGGAGGCCAACCTGCTGTAGCTGTGGCCCCAGGCCACCTCTCAGCTCCCCCAGAGCCTCCTCCATCCACTGAGCCTGTCTGCACCAGCCCTGCAGGACGCTCTCACAAACAAACTGTAGTGCCGGCTGCTTGTTCGAGAGGCCGGTGCACACACTGCCGTCAGACCACTCACTCAGGACTGGGAGAAGGAAACAAAAACATATTTCTTGTGGCATTGTACACTTGGTGGTTGTTTGTATTAATAAAGCTAAAAACATTCATTGTATTTGGGTTGCTACTGGTCTATGAACTGGACCAAATATACTGTGTCGTGGATTTGTGTATTGTGTCTTGTGCTTTTGTGCATTTGTTGTATCGTGTTTTATTGTTTTGATTGTTTTGACCGATCACCAATTGCGGCCACCAATAACTGCGGTCACAAACACATACTCTGCATTTCCTGTGGCTTCTTCACAATAAAAGCCATCCCTTGTTTTGCGAGTTGAACTATTTAAAAGTAAAGCAGTCCAACTGACACTAATGAGATGTATTACGCTGGATTACAAGTATGCGTGGGATGGCATTTTAAAGCCAGTGTGGGAATATTGGACCACACCACTAACAATAAAATGATTGAATCAACAGCTATTGCATTGAAGCGTTTCAAGAAAGTCACGACATCCCATTGAGCCAAGAATCACATCAGGCGCCTGCTGGCTTAGAGGTGTTAGTGGTAGTTTTGAGGTCACACAGAGCATATTCTTAAGCTGGGGGATGCTAAACATTTATCAGTTGAGTCAATCTTGTCCATGGGTGACTCACTGTTCTGGAAACTTCCGGTGGCAAGACCCATTGGCGCCCGAACCTCCAGACCAGTAAGAGTAGTGAGAGTCTGGATGAGAGCCACTCCTGACGCTGAGGAAGAGAGAGAGAAAGCGAGAGAGAAAGCGAGAGACAGGAAGTTAGTGAGACAGATGCAGAGACAGAAATATAGATTCCAGAGAAGTGTGTGTACTAACATCTGGGTCTCTACCTACCAGATGCTGCCAGCGGGGAGAAGATGTCAATCCCACCTCCCTCCTCAGTTGGTGCCACCCAACCACACAGTTTTTCCCAGAATTCTCTTTGGTCGGGGGTCAGAAGAGTCTTCTCTGACAGGCTACTACCTGAAGGGTCAACGTTAAAACAAAGTGAATCAGTAAACCCAAAAAATAAGATTCCCTAAGTCAACCTTTCAGAAAGATTTTAAACTGTTTGAGCTACATGCATTTTCAACTCGGTCTGGTTTGAAAGGTTAGTTGACAGACTTGTGAATGCTTTATGGCATGAAGTAAACACAACTACACTACAAACTGTGACTATGTAAATTAATCATACCTGCCACAGTGCATTGTGTATGTATCTAAATATTAGGAAGAGTTTTAAATTTGTTATACAAAAAAGCTGTATGTTATGAAAGTTCAAAACTTGACAGTTTCTTTCTTGAACAATCAAATTAAAACCAGGGTTCACTGATTTGAACTGAGTGTGGGGAGTCCATACCTAATGTAAAATTAATGTAAGATTTATGATAGTTAGTCTTGGGCCAACTCTTAGCCAGGGGACGAGGATAGCCATGGACTTAAAAATGTCCCATCATAATACAATAAGCCATGAAATGGTTTCAGCAGATGTTCTTCACAGTATCCTGAGAGATAAACTTCTAACACTGGAGGCTCCAGTTGGACTGGAACACAGCCTGGCAGAATTCCCACACATTAAGATACACAGGATTATTAATTCTCACTGTGAAGCAGATGGATTTCCTCTGTTCCTCCTGGAGCTAGTAGGCCCAGCCTCTGAGCTCTCTGCCCAGAAACCGCCCTCTCCGCCTGGGTTAACAGAGCTGAGAGAGTCCCTCTGTGATCATACAGAACCACAATCACTCCTGCCCTCACACCACTCAGCAGCAGCTAGATTGAGCACATGGAGAAAGAGAAAGAGCAGACAGGGAGAAATATTCAACGTTCATCTTCCCGCTGTGCTTTTTTGTTTTTGTTTTACACACTATTTTCTTCGTCATTGACTGATAGACTGTTTCTTTATTTTTCTTTTACCTCATAGGCAGGAATCCTATCGGAAATCAGCAGTAAGAGGGCAGGAGTGGGCAGATGGATGGGTGAGGCTGTGTGTGACAGTGCAGGTCTGTAAGTAAAGGAGGACAGCGCTCTGCTGGCTTTGTTCAGTCTTTCACTGGAAGAGAGGATGGAGGTTTGGTTAGCATTCACATCACAAATTTAGTGCAGAAAAAAAAACATTAAAAAGGAATATTTCGGCATTTTGGGAAATATGCTTATTTGCTTTCTAGTAGAGAGTTGAATTAGAATTAGGCTGGAATTGGAGGGAAACATCTAGCCTGTCACAAGCAGTCGAGTTGGGCTTTTCAATGGCAGATGCAGATATACAGAAAGCAGGGCAGTCGATGGCTGACACATAACACTGATATCAAAACAAAGAAAAGTCTTGTAGCCTATAATTACATTATTCCATGCACATTAAAATTTTATAGACATTCTTATCTAACTCTACCTATTAATGAAATAGAAAAATACAATGGGGTACGCTTTCAGAAAGGACAGCGAGGTACAGTATGTCATCAGATCATTCAACTGCATTATTCTGTACATTATAACGTAATGTATATTTAACACAAGCCAGTAACGATTTTAGATCATATTTGCTGTAATTTAAGAAAAAATTGTTAACATTTAGGAAAGACTATGGTAATTGGGGAAATTGAGGCAAACATTTACAGCAGGTTGCATTAGAGCTGTAGTACAGAGCTTGAAACTAACATTTTCTCTTCAGCCACACTGACAACGTTGCCTGCAGATGTGTCTTTTCTTTCTTTATCGGCCTTCTGAGCACAGGCATTGGCTGATGCTTATTATCTCAAAATGCCAGACAATTAGCCCTCTATCAATCTACCTGGCTCTGTTAAAAGTTTACAAAAAATGCACCTCTAAAGCTCCCTAATTAAAAAAGAAACATGGACTGCATTTAAAAACAGCAGCGCTTTTGTCCAAAGGCTTTACAAATTGCTTTTAATTCACTTACACACCGAGGGAGCTGTCCTGATCAATGAGAGCAATTTGGGATTCAGTGTCTCGCTCAAGGATTTATTACAGAGCTCTTATATTTTGCTGTATTATATTATACAGTAACCTCAATGCGTTTAATCTTAAAAAGACAGGTAACTAATATCACTCAAGGTAAGTGAGAGTTTATGGAGACAATCACCTGCTAGGGCTGGAGGTCTGGACTCTGTCCCAGCTCTGAGCTGCAGTCATGGGCTGTCCCCTGTCCTGGCTAAGACAGAGGCTGGGAGAGCCAACAGTCCGTGCAGGCCAGGAGAGAGAGGGCCAAGAGCTAAATGTTAGTCCAGAGCTGGACCTCCCTGTCTGGACACTTCCACCTCTGGCTCCTTCTGGTTTTGTGTAGCTGCCCCAAGCTCTCCTGGTTCTCATAGATAGTCCTGTAAATATGACACATATAAATACAAAGGGGTGCTGTTACTATCATTTCAAGAGCTTTTTGTCTTTTTTGATTTCTCTTTTCCACTCACTCTTCTCCTCCTGCAGTTTGTCTCTGATCATCTGCCTGATCCTCCTCTCCTTCCTCTTCTCTTCCTCCTCCTCCGTCGTCCCCATACTTTGTTGGTTGAGGGTCCCATACTGCTCGGCCGCCTCCCGGGGTGAAAGCCAGTCCAAAGTGGAGACGCAGGAGACATAGTGGTTCTTCCACGCTCCGTATTCTTTGTCTCCTGGAGTGTAGGGAAGGAACCAGCCTCTTCTGATGCACCGGCTGGCCCAGATACAGTCCTGGGCAGACAGAGACAGATAGAAGAAAATTAATCAATAGCCCCAGAGTAAAAGTAAAATATCTCTCCTCTGGGCCTCTCACCTGCTCAGCAAGAACCCTCCAGTGCCAGCTGACTTGGGCGGCAGAGCAGAGGTCACGAGGGGACAGAAATGACATCACATACAGGGACAGGAACCGTGGCAGCACCGCCGTGAAGTCCACTTGAGTCACAGGAACAGTCTCGATCAGCAAATCCCTACAGTACCTGCTCAGATTGCCAGAGCATTTCATTTTAAAGGCTGTAGGCTTAGTGTGTTAGATTATCCCAAACAACAAATTAACTCTTCATTGTTATGACACAGGAAAAAAAGGGAGGTTTACTTGAGCTGTGACTTGGTGCAGCGTGTGAGCAGTGAGTCCAACAGGTGTTTCCTCTGTCTGTCAGTCCACAGGTCAAACCAGTGGAGCACAAGGTTCATCCTCTCCTCAAACAACTGGGAGTAAATGGGAGAAAGGACACCAACAAACTTCATACAGTCTGTGAAAAGCATACGAAAGGTGACCCTCATTGCCTGAGAGTCTGGCTGCTCTTCCAAAAGCTACAAAACTGGCTTCCAAAACACTGATGAAGGCCATAGAAAAAGCTAAACTCCAGATAATTTATAAAAAAAAAGGACAAAAGAGTAAGACTGATGATGTGATAATGGCTGAAAACCTCGGGCTAATGGGGCCATTAGTGAAAGAATCAAGTCAGCCTTTTTGTGCTCTTTGCAATTTATTGTTGAATGATGTTAATTTATTTTTTTTCTTTTATTCAGGACACCTTGTAGTTTTTACTATGCAGTGGAATTTTATGAGGACTCAGAGTTTGGATTGAGTCTTTCCACTCACAATGTTAAGAAAACAAAAAGATGGGAGATCTGCTTTTACATGGTTACAGTTATTATTACACACACACACACACATATATACACACACATATGTAGACGCTAAAGACCTTTATGAATAAACTGATAACCTCCACATAGATTCAGCTAGTTCCTCACAATAATGTTGAAAATGAATGCTTGTAAGTTTGTATGCAGGACATTAACATTAGGTGCTGCTGTCTGCTTTCAATCTCTGCGGATGCTCAGATTGTAAAGTGACTATATGGGGTTAAATCCTTCAGAAAGAGCTCAGGTGAGGTAAGAGAGGAAACCCCCTTACTGTGAATGACACTTTCCCACTACATGAAGTCGTACAATAAGTTACAATGTGACTTTACCAGTATACAATGTTGTTTAAATGACAAATTAACGAATTTACCGTCGCAATGTTTGTCTGTGGTTGCGTGCGCAGTCCACTGGCAGCGTACTGGGGGGGGCTTTGCACACCTGTTCCCAATCAGGTTAACTGGCCAATGAACGGAACCCAGAGTGTTTGTGTTACTGCAGGTTAGCCTCACTGACAGCACGGGGAATCGAGGTTATTGTAAGGTTTATATACGCAATGCGTCAACACCCCCACAATACGGCTGTAGAACAGTACCATTTCAAAATAAAAGTATTTTATGCTACAGTCTCATATTTGACGCACAGTCATAAAAAGGTCATTCCTGCCATCTGGTGGCTATTAATTATCATTCCAGAAACCTTCCAGAGCAGGTTCTGCTTTGTTTGCTGGTCTGACCTGCAGGTTGCTCGTCTTGTTGTTCAGCGGGGTCCAGGTGCTGAAGCGGGTTTGGGAGCGCAGTCTGTGGACCTGCTGCGGGTCATAGTCTGTCCCGCTGAGCTGCCACCGCTTCACCGAGTGCAGGTTGGCCTGCATGTTGCTCACACGGGGAGAGCCGCTTTGAGAAAAACGCTGCTATTTCTGCTTAAATCCGTCAACTCTGATTTCCTGTCAGATTTTGCTCTCTAACAACAGCGGCGGGCTGCCATTGTGCTGCTCACTGCTCCCAGACCAGTAACCTTAGAGACGCGTCAACAAAAGGATGAGCGCATTCCTTCACAGCAGCACATCAATAAATAACAGGATGGGTTCAAGTCTGTGACCAGGAACCAAACAGCAGCACAGACAAAAGGCAACAGTATTGTAAATGTATGTGAGAATAGTCTAATCAATAATCTGTTATATGATTTATAAGAAACATTCATATTATGATGCAGTTCATTAAAAAAAGACTCTTTAAATATGTTGTTTCAAGAACATTTATATGCAAATGAATGCAAAAAAAAATGATGCATCTGACTGTGGGTTAACTTAACTAATGCAAGAACAAAAGTTATTTTATTCTCATTTTGGCATACATTTCTCTTTTCCCTCAATTATTCCCACAATAAACTGAGTCCTCTGTCAACATTATTTCCCACTGAATGGTTTAAAACACTCATGGTAGCCAAGAGATTCAGACCACACATTTATTAAGTGAATAAAAACAGTTAAAACACTTCAAAATAGTCCCACATCCCCCCCCAAACAACACTGGTTAAAATAAGTCACAAAATAAAGTAGGATTTACAATCAAAGCAGCATCAAATGATTATCTTAAAACACAGAATCCAAACCTCATTCCATGTGAGTCCATTAAAAAGGTTAAAACCGATAAGGCAAAAATGATTAAATCAAAGAAATTAAGGCATGGTTGTGACGTCGACATTTGGATCAATCTTTTCCAGCGTCTAACTAACACACCGGGGAATAATGTGCAGTGTGTCCCGCGTTTTGAATGGATATGTGCAAATATATTCAACACTAAGCAAGGTGCTGGAGACGACATCAGGCTACTCACACGGAGCAAGAAACCACTAACTGGGGTCACTGCTTAGTTTTTTGTTTACCCGTAACACGCAGCTCACTGTACGTTGTATTATTGTTTTGGCCGATTTGAATGAATTTAACTACAGTTTAAATCTAATCAGGGAATATTTATAGGTTTTTATTGTCTCAAAGACAAGATCTACGATTGTGTTGAGAAACAATTCTAAACATATTTTCTGTTTCTATATTCTGTTTAGCTCTGGGTCTTTTGTTTGACATTACAGACACGGATTGATTTTATGATGATAGATAAGACAAAGTGCAACAGAATGAGTTTTTATATATATATATATATATATATATATATAATATATATATATATATCTTAAAAAATTGCTAAAAGGAGTAAGTTAGGAGTCAGTTCACTTTTAACAAAGACCCATAAACACACACCGACAGACCTGTGAATTGTGAGTGCGTCATATAAATATCACTTTGGTTAGCAATGTATTGCAAATCTATACTGTTGGGAAATTAGTGAACTGACACAAACTTGACTTTAAAACAGGCCACAACAGGGATACACCGATGCCGATATATATATATATATATATAAACTGTAATGTAAGTCAGATCATCTTATAGATCTTAATACTTCCTCTATGTAACGCACACTATAATAATATAATATCATACATAATATATTGTCTTTAGGCTGTCAGTGCATCCCTGTTAGGACATCTTACAATACATCCATCCACCCTGTACAGACAGGGAACGCTGGTGAACAGCTTGGTTGCTATTTATGCCATAATACTTAAAAGTGCCTCAAGTTTGCTTCAACTCCACCTTATCCTTTGCAGCCCATCTAGGTGGCATAAAACAAACAGCCCGAGTCAGATGGGGGTTCAGATGAGAGGAGAGATTTCACACGCTGGCAGTCCTCGGGATCTCTTGGGAGTCGGCTAGGTTCAGTTTCTGACTGGAGATGCAGAGTCAAGAAATAAACACAGGCCAGGATGTGACGTTGGACGGATGGGAGACTTAAAGACAAAGAAGTTTTACTTTCATTTTAAAGCCTCCAAAAGGCAAATCAAAACAGGAAAGATGCCTGGAGACTGGTGAATGTTAAGATATATACCCCCCAAAAAAAAGGATACATAGAAGAACTCAGCTCCTCAAGCTGCGGAGAAAAAGAAAGTTTTGATCTTATTATACATTTTCAATCACTGTAAAGGAAGCTAACTAAACTCTTAAAGCGCTTTAACACTTCAGGAATAAGCAGCTAAATACTTGCTGGTATGTCGAGCAGTTACACCACATCAGTGCACAGCTTTATCCAGGACGACAACGCGCTGTGTCAGCCTCATTTCAGGAGGAATATCCAACAAAAGCTCACAATATTTGAAAAGTTATGCAATCACAGTCTTACATTAAGAAGTAATTTGTCCATGTTGGTGTCGCAGGCCATTTTCCTCTGGTCCTCAGGCATTTCGTCCACCTCGCCATAGAGGTCAAAGTGCAAACGCGCCAGCTTCTCCTGCATCTCTCTCACATGCTCCATCTGGCCAATGGAGCACTCATTACCTGACACAGAGGAGAGGAAGTAAAACACATGTACAGGAGGCTCCAGCTGATGTTTGTTTATTATCACTATCTTGCTCTTACACTTTCTAAAGTTGTTGTTTTCATATTAAAACATTTGTGGGAGAGAGAGTGTGTGTGTGTGTGTGTTGTGTGTGTGTGTGTTGTTACCAAATGCTTGCAGTTTCCCTGAGTGGAAGTCATTGAGGAGACTGAGCAGGCCATTCTCCATCTCCTGCACATCTGAAACATCTGTCAGAAAGGAGTGCTGGATGGTGGGTGCTGCCTGGCCTTGGCTCTGATTAGCTTTAGCACCCAAACCCAGATGATGTTTGGATTTATCTCGAACCGCCCTGGAAAAAGAGAGAGAGACAACACAAAACAGTCAGGGAAAAGAGCTCCTGATAATCAGATCTAACGAGAAAACTCTAATTATTTTGAGCTATTACCGGTAAAATAATCATTATTGAACAGTTTCTACCTCCGACTCTTGCTCTTTTGGCTCGAGTGAGTTCCCATGTTATGGCTGTAGCCGACATGCCGTCCCCCGGCGGAGGCGCCTGTTTTCCGGCCAGAGCCACCGGTCGGAGCCGCAGTGCTATTGGAGGTCCTGGGACTCTTTCTCTTTAGCTTTCGCTCCTCCATAACTTCATGTTACGGTGCCGCCCGACACTGCAGACACCAAGCACAAACAGACAGCGCTGTAACTCACCGCAGAAACCCTGTGACAGGTATTAAAGCTGGCGTTAGCTTACGAGCTAGCTGGTCGGCTAATCTTCAGCCTGACAACCGCAAACAGACGCCGATGAACACATTCACTCACATCTGTTGCTAAGCTGTCCGTGTGTCCTCCGTGGCACTGACAGATAGTCCACACGGTGCGAAAGTGCGTGAAAACATGAACATTTGCGTGTGTACTCCGCAGGCTAGTTAGCTAGCCCGTAACTCTTAAAAACTTCCTGTTTTGGTGGGACGCATCGGGCCCATTCCAAACATGTACGCTTCACTCCTACGTTGTACACTAAACTACAGTATGTCGTCTAAGTTCATATAGTGATGCCATTCAAATATTATTAACATTTGGAAAAGCATTAAAATGCTTATTTAGTATTAAAAGTGTACCTTAACTTCATCAAAGTTTCTCTCCTACTCTGCGTAGTGTCCTTCAGAGGCCCCTTAATCACGAATTGGAACTGGGCCCAACGTCGACTGTTTTCTATTAACAGTTTAGTTTTTTTTTTTATGCAGGAAAATGATTTAAAATCTGGTAAATAATACGAATTTACTAAGAAATGCATTGTAAGGAATCCCTTCTCACACTTTTACAAGACGCGTTTTAATGTTTTTTTAAATTTTATTTCTTAATTTAATCCATTTAAAATCGTTATTATACTTTATATATGTGTTTTCTGTTGTAATGAACATAAGGGCACGTTTTAAGAGGCCTGTTTGAACTTTATTATTAAAGTTAATTTTAAAAAGGTCTCTAATTCTTTCTTCTTTTTCTCTCTTAAAAAAAAATAACTGGCAACAATATATCAAAGAAATAGTCAACAGACTGTCCTTATTTCGGTGTCAGTCTCCTAAAAAGACTCAGCTGTAGACATCATCAAGCAGAGTCTTCAAGTCCTAGTTTGTTATATAAAAATGTTGAAAAAGCACATTTCAAAAAGGTTTTTACCTTTAAAATCGACACACCTGAACTGTGACTGAGTTGTAGTTACAAGAACAAACCACAAGGGGGAGATAAGTGAACATCCAATAATGATCCCGCACTCTCCCTCTTCTTAATTATTGTATATATAGATGATAAACGTGCAGAAAAGGGGCATTTTGTACAGTTGAATTAACTGTGCATGCTTTTATGCTAAACATAAATTAATCAATCATCAAAATACTGAATTCCTGAGCATCATTCAAACTTGAATCAGTGCACACCAAATCTTTTGCACTGAATGAGGATTAAAGTCTGTGTGTTTTGGTGTCTGTAGGTGATGCTTTTCCAGTCAGAGTCTTGAATAGCTGCACAAATAGCTGATTTTATTCACTTTTTATGAACACCAAAGGGAAACATTTCTCTCATTTTCAGTGTTTGCAATTGCATTGCTGTCCCTTGTTGGTATTTACAAGATGGCCTTTATAAGACACTCTTGAGGGAAAAAAAGCATTAGAAAGCATCAGATAAATGCTTAATCTGTCACAGAAAATTAATTTCAGTGTGCAGCTAAAAGCTCTGACTTCCTGTTGAGGGGTCCAGAGAAAAAAAAAAAAAAAAGAGTTCCCCAATGAGCATGTCTAACAGATTAATTATTAAAAATCATGTTTCTCATGTGCAGTGGCAGAAGTCTTGAACCACATACCAGTAGTCTCATCATATGGAGACCAGTTCATAGAGTGTCCATAATTCTTGGATCTATAGCGTCAGGAAATGATGCAACAGTGGAGGTGTGTGCAGCCTCTTTACTGCCAATAAGTTCAATTTAAATAGTAGAATTTAAATTTATTTCAGTGGATTTAAAAAAAAAAAAAAAAAGCCTCTGGTACAATGCTGATAGCTGTTGCTTTAGATTGAGAAGGACACCGGTTTAAACCCTCTGCAATCATCAATCATCAGTCTGCAGGTCAGGTGAACTTTCCTGCATTTACCCACAATGCATGCCTGGATTAGGTTTCGTCATCTGTGTGTGTGAACGCGACTAAATAGGGAATTGGCGGTCCAGTTAGAAAATCACTGTAATTTTCCACAGTTTGGTCAGTTGGGCCTTTTATTTGAGCAATATTTCAATCAATATCTAATTTATCTAATATTTTTACTCTTTAATTATTAACAAATAATTCTAAGCGTGGTTTATCGAACTCTAATTGTGATTGTTGTTAATTTAGTCATGAAAGATGTCAAAGTTCAGACTTTTTCATTCTTGATTTCTGCTTCAAACTCTGAAAAGGCAACCTGTCATCGGTCCTTCACTCGGTTAAGTCAGCTGGTTGCCAATACTTAAAAATGACCGGCGTGAACCTGAAATGTTCGGTTATTTTTAGGACAGTACTGTGACCAATGAACAATCGAAAAAGTGAAAAAGTTCCACAATTTTGGGACTCATGCCGGCAGATAATTTTCTTTCTCTCTCTCCCTCCTACCCTTTTCTGCTTTGTGAGCTCATATGTGTGTGTTTTTTTTTTTTTTTGTGTGTGTGTGTGTGTGTGTGTTTGAGTGTGTGTTTGCTGCGTGACAGTGGCTGAGTGAGGTGAACCAGGATAAAAATGTTACAGATGAACACATTTAGACTGCCGCGTCCACACAGCCATTAACTTTGTGGATGTACACACACACACACACACACACACACACAGAAACACACACACCTATCTCTCACACGTAATTGCTGTGTAGGTGCTGTTTGGAGAGCTAGCTACTAGTTACAGCCAGTTCATTCTTTTCTCGTGTGCACGGCTGCTTGAATTATGCATTGGATTGTAAATGAATGACAACTCGTTTAATTACACACTCCGTCTTACTGCTAATTCTAAGTTACATGCCTTTCTAATGCTGCATCATTCCAGCATTTTAACAGACTCGCTGTAGCCACTGAAAACACCAAAAGTGATTTAGAAATCACCTAAAATACCTGTGCAATTTTATAAAGATAAATAAAAGCTTCTGTTTTTGTCTGTAAATAATAATTGTATTATTTCACACTGAAATTAAATATGTTAAAGTCTTTCTCTCTGAGGACCCATAATCGTTGTATCAGTCGGAGAATGAAAGGGTGAAGGTATTGTTTCTATTCCCGTGCATCCCTGTTCAATACTGTACATCCCCCAGTGTGACAGGACCATCGGGGGACAATTGTAGACACTGGGTGTGTACGCAGCTCTATTGGGAATTAGGGTTAAGCAGAGGGTTTCAAGTGTGTGTGTGTGTGTGTGTGTGTGTGTGTGTGTGTGTTTTCATCACAGCAGCTGTGACCCAGAATAAGACGTGTCTTTATCCCTTCACATTCCTCATATACCCCTCCCACACACACACACACACACACACACACACACACACACACACACACACAGTGTACAGACACACTGACGTGAGTGTTTCTGAATTAATAACTTTCTCAGTCTACTGTGTGATTTTATATGTATATAATATATGTGTATGGGAGCCAGAAGTCCTTGTCTTGCATTTGTCCCCCACACAAGGACAAGGAGCAAGAGACTGGCTGGGATGAATGGGGGATGTGAGTGAGAGAAGAAAAAGAATAAAAGATAGAAAATGGAAAAAAATTAAATCAGTATACCTTTATATCAATGTGAAAAGGCTTTTTTGGATCTGTATGCCTCACTGACTTCTATAAAACATTACTGATCGTAATTTAGATGTGTAATTTTACATGTAGTGATGTGAAATGTTTCACCACATGTAATTTTACAGTACATTTAACGTTTAACTATCTTACACACCAAACAAATGAAAACAAACACTGCCACATGAGATGACGGAGCTACAGTAACGTTAAGCAGTGATGTCTGTTGTACTGTTTTAAAGGAGCTATATTTAAGAATGTTAGTTTAAAATATTCCACAATTAAATTATCAGCAGAATTTGAATAAATAACAGTTTTGATGTGACGTCAATGACATTTATGGATTGTGTCGCAGAGATATCTACGGAAGTTAGCATACTAGTCGGCTAGTCCCGGCCCGTCCTGTCTCGTAATACCACTTTGTACCTCAAGAGGAGACAGTGAGCGACTGTAGCTTCCAGTCTGTCATCCTCATGAGAGGATGAAAAAGTAGAAACCACATTCTGCTGTAAACAAAGAAATGATATGAATAAAAGAAAAAGAGCTGAAGTTTGATGCTGAAATCACATTTCTTCTGAACTAGTGAGTAAACAGCTGTTAATGCTAACGTTCGCTGTTTGTTCAAAGAAAGAAAGACTTTCGGGAGGGACTGGACATTTGAGTGAGTATGAATTCAACAGGTGGACACTTCCTAAATATAACTGCTTTAAATGTTTGATTTACTCAAACAGGCAGTGACTAGTCTAAAATACATCACACTTGGCACCTTTTATGTGACAGTGCCACAAACACAGTGAGTGGTACAGTATGTGCACCTGATAATGGAGAGTTAACTCCTTTAAATCAACGTTGATTTGCATAAAGCAATAAATTAAAAGGATAAAATTGATTTTGCAGCTTCCTGCGTTAATGATGTTTGGGAGCCTCTGCAGTTTCATAGTGCAACACACTGAAGCCACTGGCTGTCTGGGAGGAAGGAATCAGTCTGAGAACTTATGGAGACTGGTCAGCTGCATTGGAAAATATATACATTTGTAGTTAGTTAACTAATATGCACCAAAGTGACCACCATTCTAACAAGTCTAGATCAGCTTTTAGCCATCTCTATTTGTTATAGAATTAGTGATGCTTTTTTGTTCTAGCACAAGTTAATATAAAACTCATCCAACACTAGGTCTTGGAAAACTTGAGGATGAAAAACACTGTAATAAAATACTTCAATAAGCAGTATACTATATAAGATTTGGGCCAAAAAGTGAGAATTGAAAGGCAGACATGTTAGAACTCACCAAGTAATCATTGCGTCTCTATTATCTAATCAAACTCTTCTGCCACTCTACATATCTTCGTGTCTCCTCTCTAACTTTTGTCCCCCTCTCATTCAATTCCCTGTCTCCTCCCCCCTCTCCCACTCGCCTCTTCCTGTCCTCCTCTCACCACTCTGTAGAGGGTCCAAGTGACATTTGGCTGTCCCCTGCCTCGAGGGGGTCCAGGAGATGCAGACGTTTTTGGCAGGCAGGCACAGGGATGCCTAGGGGTCCTGACGGGGACTCCTGGACTAGGAAGAGAAAAAAAGTACACATCATAAAATGCACCCGCAGTCAGAAACACACATACGCTCTCGGGGTGCACATGCATAAGCAAACAATTGCACAAACAGAGAAGAGCTAACACAGACACACACTGACACATGTAAATGTGTATGTGCACAAACACTCATGCACCTACCAATCAAACACACGTAATGAAGACACAGTGGATGGTAAATGTGAGAAGGCGAGGGAAGCTGCCCCCATGGAAAGGTTTGGAAAACAGTAAATAAACTGGGATTTGAATTTAAATTGCTAAACTACTGAGCTTCAAGATGACTGGCTGGCTTCATTCCCTGTCCTCTTTACTATCACTACTTCATTTATTACGGCTTTTTATGTTGTAGTAAAATCATTTGTGGGACTGATGCAAGAATACATTTTTTAAATCATTTTTTCATACTGTACAAATGTCAAGGTAAAGTTTAAAATAACATTCAAATCCTTTTACCAATGAAATTCCATGCTGTAGGTAAACTATAAGGAATAAGGAGTTTCTTAACCTTGAGGTCAGGACCCAAAACAATGGATCACTTGCTGCAACAGTGAAGACTGAAACACTGGTTGTTTGATTTACTTTATATAGAAATATAACATAAAATATATAATATATATAAAAATTGAATAATTCCCTCCACACTTTGGAAAATGTAAAGAATTAAGTATTTAAACTCACGTGACAGTCTGAAAGTTTCTAATTGCTACGCTCATTAAACCTTTGAAGCAGAATTTGTTATACTACACAATAAGGCCATTTTAAACTGTCTCTAAAATATATTTTCCTATGAATTCTTATAATAATACAATCTTTCCTTGGGGATTTTAACTTTGCACAGATAATAACAAATGACCGTTGGGCGGTATACATCTTTCATTCAACAGTTTCAGTGTCTATATCCGTAGAATTTGTCACAGACATGAAAAAAATATACATTTTAAACTCAACACTTGTATCTGTTAGAGATTAAAAGCTCTCTTGCATTTCTGAGGACAGAATCAATTCATATGTTAACAGTTATTTATCACAGGCAAAGAAAGGAAGCGCTCTCGTTGTGGTCACCACAGGCGTGCGAGCCGCAGCTGTTTATCGAGGAAGGCGTCACGCACTGGCAGTAGGCAGTGTGGACGAACCGTAAACTCACTTCTTTCTAACTCCAGACCCCCAGATTTTTTTTTGCCGCAAATTAGTGTGCTGCCACAAATTATTCTGACTCTTGAGGTAATTTATCAGACTGTGCAGCTCCCTCTGGAGACACAGGAGGCTTTCTACAACTTCTTTCACAAATGAGGAAGTACTAGAAACCTTTCTTTTTTTTGCTGCCAAAAACCTAAAACATCACTTCCTGCGCATCGGAGGTGTTCATAAACATCCATGAACCAACATGAAAGCAGCAAAATAAGGATTCATTTGTGTGAAATGAATGCCAAAGGAAGCCAAAATGAGGACTTAGGTGGTGTGACTGTCCTCATCTCCCACCACTCATGTCCCTCTGAGATCACACATCTGTCTTTTTTCTCTCTCCACTCTCCTCTGTCTCCCGGGGTCTCTTCAGAGAGATAATACGCTGGTCATCGGGGGAGCGACAGAGAGAGGGGAGATGGAGATGCAGGGCTAATTGCGGGGTGCCGGAGCTCGTCGGCGCGGCACTGCCCGCTGTTTTTGGCTCAGCCATAATTACCTGGTATCCGCAGATGTTTCACGCCATTGTTGTACACCCAGACAGAGAGCAAGGGATGGATAGATGGACGGAGAGAGGTGGGGAGACATAAAGAGGGAGAGACAGGGGCCGGGTCTCCCTGCCAGCTGCAAACTTCTGCACACACGCAAAGAAAACAGCGAGCAGACGCTTTCTCTCTCCATTCATCCATCTATCTTTTTACCCATTCTTTTATTCATCTTTTTCAATCCATTATCAAACCAACCCTTTTATATTTGCACCTTGAGTGTTGATAGGTGATAATTCTTTGTATGTGTGTGTGTGTGTGTGGGGGGGGGCAGCCTTCCCACTGAGGCAGAACAAAGTAGCGTAATAACTCAGACACTGAGCTGACCCTCTCTGCTGCTCTCAAGTACACTTAATGGAGGTGTGTGTGTTAGCATGCATGTGCATCTTTGTGTGTCTGTCTGTTATGCTTGTGCATGTGTGCCTCCGTATGTGTGTGTGTTCAAATAGCTGATCCCCTCCAGGGGTGAATTGTTATGGATGCTGTTCTGTTGAAATTACTGTTATTTGTTTCCTTTAAAACAAGCTAATTGCAGCATAGCGGATTGCTCTGTGTGTGTGTGTGTGTGTGTGCGCGCATCAATTTATTTGCTTTCTTGTTTATTGTTTGTTTGTGTTGCATAGCGGACCCCTCCAATTTCTTTAGCATGGACACATTTTCACTCCGGCGTCAAATCTCATTCTGCTGCAGCTGTTGGGCAGTAATTTGACTTTTTAGCCAATTTTCTTTGTTTTCAAAGCTAAATTCTGCTGCTCAGTGAAAAGGAAAGGAAATGATCTGCACACAAACTGTATTACAAACAATAAATGTCAGCCAGCGGAAAAGATTCATTAACTTTTGATGCTTTTACTGAACAAGAAAAAAAAGCACTGTTCTTAAAAGTCATTTAATCATTAGCTCAACAATAATGTCTTTTTCTAGTATTTTATTTGCAAATTAACTCTTTTTAAAAATACTACAGCAACTATACAGATACTCAACAGTTAATCTGACTAGCTGATCACTTAATAAAGAGTTGATTCACCGGGAATCGAAAGAAAATATGCATGCAGATAGTTGGTTTTGTTTGTGCATATTTTAGATTTCTGCCTCCACCTCATTACAAGGGAGGTGCATCGACTGTAGTATTTAGTATATTAAACATTGTAAAACAAGAGTAAGAGTCTATAGCCACGCTAGCAGCTCTGCTGGTATTTATTATGTTCACTGTCTTTGTAGCCTGTTAGCATGCTAACATTTGCTAATTAGCACAAAGTACAGCTGAGGCTGATGGGAATGGTATTAGTTTTTAAAAAGTAAAATAAAAAAAGTACTGGACAAACTGAAATTTTAGCCTGAAGATGAAAAGTCAGAGGATCACCAAAGCTAATTCATCGACAATCTGTGTACCAAAATGTATTGTAATCCAATAGTTGACAAGATCATTTATGTAAAATCAAAAATGTCAACATCCAATAGTTTTTGTTTCAGTTTGGATCAAAGTGGTTGACTGACTGACAGACCAGCAGGGAGATAAACTTAACAGCAAAAATGTCTTGTTTTTGTATTAGGAGCCAACACATCGGTATTGGTGCAATACTAATCTGATTAAGCAGACCATGATGGTATGAATGGTAATGGATTGGTACTTGATATCGAGCTATCAGAATCAGCATCAGTATCAGGAAAGATGGATGATACACACAACTACAGAACTAAGACTCCAGTTGTAATGAACAGAAACGATCCTTTACTTAGCGTGGACTTAAAGAGTGAAAGTAAATGCACTACAAAACCTAAATAAAAATTGGAAAATGTATATTAAATATCCAAAATGAGTCAAACAGTATCAAGCAGATGCAGTGTGTATATACAGTATGAATGTGTGAGTGATTGCAACCGGCTGGGAAAGCAAGAAAGAAGAAAGTGTGCCCATGCTGGTGTTAAGTGGGACATTTCAGACAGACAGGCCATCCTCTCACAGGCACCCTTGTCTGCCAGGCAGGTAAGCCAGTCTCTCTCTCTCTCTCTCTCTCTCTCTCTCTCTCTCTCAAACACACACAAACACACACACACACACACACACACACACACACACACACACCTCTGCCAGCTCCTTCACGTCCCCCTGTGCCAGGTATGTCTACGTCCCGTCTTTGTGTGCGAATGAAAGCGCGGCAGATCTGACGAGGAAGAAAATCACACACACACACACACACACACACACACACACACACACAGGCGGCATTCTCACGGGGGGAAGAGGAGGGACGAGAGGAGGAGAGGGAGAAGAAGAGGTGGCCTCGCCTTCCCTCTCATCCCTCAATCCAACACTTCTCCTCCTTTCGTTTGGTTCCATTCATTCGTCAGTTCTTTCCGTTTTGTGCTGTTCCATGTGCTGCTGCTCTGTCTGTCTGTCTCTGCCTCCGCTCTTCTCCTGTCCTCCCTTTCTTTGCGCTCCATCCTTTTTCTCCCCCATCGCATCGCTCTCTTTCTTTCCCATCCATCCTCTCTTTCTCCTCGCTTCGTTACAGTTTCCAAGTGCTTGGACGGGGGCTTACTGCTCCGGTCACTGCTCAGGGAGTACGGTGAGCTAAAGTAGGCTCGGTGTAGAAGAACATCACACACACACACACACACACACACACACACACACACACACACACACACACACACATACTTGAACAAACAAACAGAAACGGGCCCTTTCTCTTGCTCCAATTTCAATTGTGTCTTGTTTGCTACCTGCATATGTCTCTACCTTCTCCAGATCCCAAAGCTTATCTGTACACACAGCCTAGAAAGCATTATGAGAACTGGTCTGACATCATACGTATCCAAACACCAAGCGTTCAGAGATAAGCGTCCCTGCTCCTATCTCAATCAGTTACTCAGCACTCCGAGCCAAGCAAAGTTCAGCGCGACAGAACTGCACTGAAGTTCAAACCAGCAGAAGAGAATTCGCTCTGTTATTCTTGCATCTGCCAATATAAAACTTCCTGTGGCCTTGAGGTGAGCAGAGGCAATATGTAAGATTTGTAATACACTGTGGCACAAAAACATCTTAATGTGTGTGTGGTGTGAGTTCTGCACAATTAAACTGGTACTGCCAAATCTGACAGCCACCAAGCTTTATTGCTTTATCCACAAGAAAGGGAATGGATCCCCGGTAAACTTGAAATGCAAAAGTTAAACAGCCTTCATTATTGTGGCTATGCAAAACTGACTGACTGCACAAGATCAAATAATCCCACTACTATGAGCA